GGGCTTTTATTTGAACAAACTCGGTAGACACTCACTAGAAGATGTTTCATGCTTAATATCTAAACTCTAGCTATTTGGGTTTTTTCAAAGAAGATTTTTTAAGTTTTTGCTATACACATATAAGGAAAATCAATGACCCCCGGGGCAGGGCCAATTTTGACCCCAGGGCTTTTATTTGAACAAACTTTGTAGACACCCATTAGAACATGTTTCATGCTAAATATCTAAGCTCTAGCTCTTTGGGTTCTTTAAAAGAAGATTTTTTAAGTTTTAACTATATGCATATAGGGAAAATCAATGACCCCCTGGGGCGGGGCCAATTTTGACCCCAGGGCTTTTATTTGAACAAACTTTGTAGACACTCACTTGATGATGTTTCATGCTTAATATCTTAACTCTAGCTATATGGGTTTTTTCAAAGAAGATTTTTTAAGTTTTTGCTATACACATATAAGGAAAATCAATGACCCCCTGGGGCGGGGCCAATTTTGACCCCAGGGCTTTTATTTGAACAAACTTGGTAGACACTCACTAGAAGATGTTTCATGCCAAATATCTAAGCTCTAGCTCTTTGGGTTTTTTAAAAGAAGATATTTAAAGTGATTTCTTTTGGTTGCCATGGCAACCAGAGTTCTGCATGGAATTAAATTCTTTGAACAATTTTTAAAGGTGACCACCAAAGGAACATTCCTGTGAAGTTTGGATGAAATTGGCTTAGTGGTTTATGAGGAGATGTCATTTAAGGTAAAAGTTAACGGACGGACGGACGCCGGACGGACGGACGCCGGACGAAAAGCAATCACAAAAGCTCACCCTGTCACTTTGTGACAGGTGAGCTAAAAATGAGGCTTAACAGAGTTATGGTTCTTTTGCACTGCACTTCTACTCAATGAGATCTATCTACCTACAATGTTTCATTCTGATATCTCTTATAGTTTTAGAGTTATGTTCCGGACAAAGTTCAAAGTGTTGAAATTAACAAAGGGCAATAACTCCAAAATTAGGACAAAAAGAGTTATTGTTCTTATGCACTGCACATCTACCCATTATGATCTATTCACCTACAAAGTTTCATGTTGATATCTCTAATAGTTTTAGAGTTATGTCCCGGACAAGACTTTTCTATAAGGGGAGATAATTCAAAAACGAGGCTTAACAGAGTTATGGTTCTTTTGCACTGCACTTCTACTCAATGAGATCTATCTACCTACAATGTTTCATCTTGATATCTCTCATAGCTTTAGAGTTATGTTCCGGACAAAGTTCAAAGTGTTAAAATTAACAAAGGGCAATAACTCCAAAATTAGGACAAAAAGAGTTATTGTTCTTATGCACTGCACATCTACCCATTGAGATCTATTCACCTACAAAGTTTCATGTTGATATCTCTTATAGTTTTAGAGTTATGTCCCGGACAAGATTTTTCTATCAGGGGAGATAATTCAAAAACTGGGTAAAATAGAGTTATGGTTCTTTGACACTGCACTCCCCCTCAATGCCCTCTACCACTGTATGAAGTTTAAACAAATTATCTCCAAGGGTTTTCAAGTTATGCTCTGGACAAGACAACGGACGGACAGACGGACGTTCTAACAGGAGAGTAATTATACGGCTACTCTATTGTTCTCTCTATTGTTCTTTTTAGCCACACAAAAGAAAATAGCCACATAAAAGCATTACGGAATGAATGACATCAAAGAGAAAGAACAGTTACCTATTGTCCCTCTAGCCACATAATTACTGTCCTGTGAGTGCGGACAGACGGACGGACATACGGACAAGGCACCGACTATATGCTCCCCCGAAATTTTTCGGGGAGCATAAAAATCTGACTTCAAATAAGGAAGTTATGGACCGGACACAATTTTGCTGCAAGGTCATGCTGTGACCTTGACCTTCAAGGTAGCGACCCAAATGTTGTGCGTGACACGTCATCTTAATATGATGATCATTTTTGTGAAATACTTTTTAAATCTGACTTCAAATAGCAAAGTTATGGGCCGGACACGATTTTGCTGCAAGGTCATGCTGTGACCTTGACCTTCAAGGTAGCGACCCAAATGTTGTGCGTGACATGTCATCTTAATATGATGATCATTTCTGTGAAATACTTTTTAAATCTGACTTCAAATAGCGAAGTTATGGGCCGGACACGATTTTGCTGCAAGGTCATGCTGTGACCTTGACCTTCAAGGTAGTGACCCAATTGTTGCGCGCGACACGTCGTCTCAATATGGTGATCATTTCTGTGAAAAGTTTTAAAATCCGACTTCAAATAACAAAGTAATGGGCCAGACACGATTTTGCTGCAAGGTCATGCTGTGACCTTGACCTTCAAGGAAGCGACCAACATGTTGCGCGCGACACATCGTCTCAATATGGTGATCATTTCTGTGAAATATTTTTAAAATTCGACTTCAAATAACAAAGTTATGGACTGGACATGATTTTGCTGCAAGGTCATGCTGTGACCTTGACCTTCAAGGTAGCGACCCAATTGTTGCGCACGACACGTCGTCTCAATATGGTGATCTTTTCTGTGAAAAGTTTTTAAAAATCCGACTTCAAATAACAAAGAAATGGGCCAGACACGATTTTGCTGCAAGGTCATGCTGTGACCTTGACCTTCAAGGTAGCGACCCAAATGTTGCACGCGACATGTCATCTCAATATGGTGATCATTTCTGTGAAATATTTTTAAAATCCAACTGACCGGACACGATTTTGCTGCAAGGTCATGCTGTGACCTTGACCTTCAAGGTAGCAAACCAAATGGTACGCGCGACACGTCGTCTCAATATGGTGATCATTTCTGTGAAATAGTCCGACTTCAAATAACAAAGTTATGGGCCGGACACGAATTCGGGACGTACGTAGGTACGGACAGACAATCCGACGACTTTATGCTCCCCCGAAATTTTTCGGGGAGCATAATAAAACACATGTGAAACTGCTTCACAGCCAGAACACCTTCATACTATAAACAATAAAACACATGTAGAACTGCTTCACAGCCAGAACACCTTCATACTATAAACAATAAAACACATGTGAAAATGCTTCACAGCCAGAACACCTTAATATCAACTTATACTGCTCACAATCATTACTATATCATGACCTAAAATACCATTTTAGAAGAAGTAGCATCTTACAATAGAAGTTCCAACTGAAGTAACTAATTCTATTTTAACTTATACTTGTGCCTCTTATTCCCTTGGTACTTAACTATTCAACACAGACAACAAAAGTGAGAAGAATAAAACTCCGGAAAATATGTTGATTATTGTAGCAAAGACTATCTGTTACATCATAGATTATTCCATTTAATGTTTGCATGTAAGCAATTATATACACAACATGGCAATTAACACCTATCTGCTGCCTAGTGAGTAAAGTTATGTTCTCATATTTCCAAAGCAATTACATTTTAACAGTTTCAAAAACAAAACCAAAAGTAATCTTTATTTTTTAATACACCTATACCTAGCCCTGAAAGTGGGTATTTTCTCAATGGCATTTATCAAATATCTTAATGGTTGTTTAACAAAGACAATTGTCTTTACAGGTATGAAAACTAAAAGTAAAATGGTGAAATAATTTACGGTACTGAATAAAACAAGAGCCATGTCAACATGGCCATCCCCCGCCGAATGTGTTTGCTCATTGGAAGAATGTATATGTAGTAGAGCGGAATAATTCCATTTTAAGAGGTCTTTTGGTAATGAAAACTGATGGCTATAGTGATTACAGATTTGAAACCTATGTGAATACTGATGGCTGAAAATAACAAAGGGCAATTACTGAAAAATAATGCAGGGTAGGTTATCATTCTTGTGTGCTGCATCCCTCCTCAGTAAAATCTATCCACCTATGAAGTTTCAAGTTGATACCTCAAATACTTTTTGAGAAAAAAATTGAATTGAAAAATTAAGTATGAAAAAGAACAAAGGGCAATAACACAACACTTATAAAAGGTAGAGTTATCATTCTTGTGCAGTGCACACCTCCTGAGTGAGATCTATGCACCTATGAAGTCTCATTTTGATATCTCAAAGGCTTTTTGAGTTATGCTCTGGACAAAAATTAATTTTGAAAAATAACAAAGGGCAATAACTCAAAAATAATGCAGGGTAGAGTTATCATTCTTAAGCACTGCACTCCTCCTCAATGAGATCCATCCACCTTTGAAGTTTCAAGTTGATACCTCAAATACTTTTTCAGATAAGCTCTGGACAAAATAGCATGAAAAAAAACAAAGGGCAATAACTCAAAAATTGTATAGGAAGAGTTATCATTCTTGCGCACAACATTCCTCCTCAATAAGATCTATCCACCTATGACATTTCATGTTTGATATCTCAAACACTTTTTGAGTTATGCTCCACTCAGGTGAAAAATTAGGTATGATAAATAACAAAGGGCAATAACTCAAAAATTATGAAAGGTAAAGTTATCATTCTTGTGCACTGCACACCTCCTGAGTGAGATCTATGCACCTATGAAGTTTCATGTTAATATCTCATAGGCTTTTGGAGTTATGCTCTGGACAAAAATCAATTTTGAAAAATAACAAAGGGCAATAACTCAAAAATCATGCAAGGTAGAGTTATCATTCTTGTGCACTGCACTCCTCCTCAATGAGGTCTATCCACCTATGAAGTTTCAAGTTGATAACTCAAATACTTTTAGAGATATGCTCCGGACAAAAATGTCGGACGGAAGGACGGACGGACGGACGGAAGGTCGGCGAACGGAGACTATTTCTATATCCTCCGCCGAAATTTTTCGGCGGGGGATAATAATAAGTTTTCTCAGTTGTATATGTTACATTTCAATAAAAATACAAATAAAAAAGTGTAAGTAAAACCCCTGGCAGGTGCATGAAGTCTATAAGGTACTTGAGACTGGCTATGCCTAATACCTTGGAAATATGGGTACCACGGAAATATGAGGCACAAGTATACCTAGCCTTACTGCAGAATCTATAGTGGACTTACCAATCTTGTAAAACAGAGATAATTTCTGGTACAGCCTCTTGTCTAATGTCTCTTCCAATGGCATAATCAACTTCTAACTGTTGGTTTTTCTGATCCAACTTTCCATGTATAATATCTGCATATATCACCTCAATTATCAAATCCTGCAAAAACCAAGGTATAACTTGTTAACTTTTACTTGCTGATATCAGAGAATATATCATAAAATATTTACCATTCATTTCCAGGTAATGTTCAAATTTAGTTAACCAAATATTCATGAACAGGTAATAGTCAAAATAACTTTACATTAAGCCATAATTATGTTCAATTTGATATCATACAATGTAAAAATAATCAAAAACCGATATTATCTACGGGAACCTTCTATAAATAGAAGATATTGAATGAGTGTAAGTTTACTACTGAATTTATTGAACGTGTTGAATAAAATAATATTATGCGAGCCACTTACGAGCATAATATTGATTTATTCAACGAGCTCAATAAATTTAGTAATTAACTTACACTCATTCAATATCCTTTATTTATCACATATCAAATAGAGAATAACATGCTACTGTCTTTTGATATCAATTTTATCAGGCGAGGCTGATATGGGCTAGAAAGGGCGAGGCTTGCCGAGCCCTTTCTGCCCATATCAGCCGAGCCTGATAAAATTGATATCAAAGGACAGTAGCATGTTTTTCTATTTATCATGTAACACATAATAACTGTCAAAATAACAAAATAATCTACTTTTAAATAGCGAATTTCGTTAAAAAGGGAGATTTTTATTCAAAGAAATAATTCTTGAAAACAAATTCCTCCGCCCCTGAAACTTAGAATTTGTAATTGGCGGCCATTTTGTTTTTCGACTCGGATAAAATACAACAGAATGTAGGCCTAATACGATAACATTCTTACCTTTAATTTAAACATCAATCAAAAAATCCGCTGAGAATCACATAAACTAAACTTTACTGCAATTTTTGTCTTGAATTGTCAAATTCAAAAGTTCACGATAATTTCAATCAAAGAAAAGTCATTTGAATCGGCAATCAAACACAAGCTACACAAACATGCGTCTTATTTTTTAAACGAAACAATTTGTTCACTTATTAAATAATAATCCGGCGAAATAAAGTAAACATTTACAAGTTCTCAAAGAAAATCGTCTAGCCTGTTTGTTATGATTACATGTAGTATGACGTGAACATCGATGATGTCATTTGCAATATAAATTATGACGTCACTTCAAACTATTCGCTATCTAATTTATTCGTAATTGAAATCGAAATAATAAATAAATAAATTTCGCATATTGATTCAAGACTTGTAAGGGTATGAGATTACATTTTAGAATTCACATGCTGATGAAAATGAGAATATAAGCAATTGAAAAAAAGTCCGTTAAAATGGGCGGGGCTAATTTTTGATATCAGGTTACTGACGTGATAACAAAAATAATTATCAGGCAAGTGTTATCGGGCAGTTACCATAGCAGTTGCATGATAAAAATAAAGACCGCTTAAAGTGAAATAGAAAATTTTTTCATGGACGCGCCTATAGCTAACATTTAGCATGTCTTAATGCTTTGTTTATATAACGCAAATGACATCTTGTCAAAATACATGCACTGCCGTGCAATACCATATTTACAGAGTCGCTAAAATCGGCACCGGTATGTGATAAATATTGTTGTTAGTGTATCAGTAACAATCAAACTTTAAATACAGTGGGTCAGTCTTCTATAATTCAGGTAGTATTTAAACATTTTTCATAATCAACTATTGGTCAATTACCATAATAAAAGTAAATCTTTTTAAAATATATAACTAATTTAGCTGAACTTGACAGTGAAAGAATGAGCATAATGTCACTTTAAAGACATATTATGTCTCAGAAATTCATATTTTTGAAAGTTTAATATATGAGCCATGCCATGACAAAACAAACAAAGTGCGTTTGCACCCAGCATGGATACAGATCAGCCTGCGCATCCACGCAGTCTGATCAGGATCCATGCTGTTCACTTACAAACCATATTACAAGTAGAGAAATTGATAGGGAACATGGATCTTGATCAGTCTGCGCAGATCTGCAGTCTGGTCTGGATCCATGATAGTCACAAACGCATTTTGTTGGTTTTGTCATGACGCGGCTCATATGTCAAACATATGTTTGATGATGTTTCAATAATGAATTCAGAGCATGTTACATGTTTAAATACTGACGAAAGTAGCACTAATCGTGCAGTAATGTGTCATAAAGGTAGCAAACTGTTAACAAAGAAGTATTTTGACTTCCATACAAAATACTGACTCACTATAGTTATACCAACTGCTATCAGAGCAAAATATAGTTCATGTACATGGAAAATGTGTATATTTTTGGAATCTGAAGCAAGATACCAAAATTTAAAAAATTTTGAGAAATAAAATTGATAGCATTTCTGGGGCAAAATGTCACTTTAAGGTGAATGTATATATGTATATATAAGAATTAATCTTACTTCAAGGGACCTCATGTTAGGAATATCCAACTCCTCCAATAAAACACTATATGGAATGCACTGAAAATAAAACATATCATGTTACAAGAATGGACTGAAGATGGTACTAAAATTATACTATTACTAATAAACCATAAAATAAATCATAGGACATAAACTTTATTAAATTTGAGTAGCAATGTCAAAGGAGAATACAATGAGAATTGTATTAAACCAAAAGTATTAAATTAACAGTAAGCTTGCTTAAATTCAGAAAAATAGCCTGGGTATTTAAGAGAAAGTCAACATTACAGTTATATGTCTAACTCTTTATCAGTTACCAACAGTTATGACAGAATAAGCATGTGTGCAAATTTATATGTGAAATTTCAGTGGCTGTGAGGAAAGATTTTGCATGCAAAAGCCTTTACCAAGATTTTTCTTAGTAATTCTGTAAAAATCTGAGCTAGAATTATTGGTCTTAAAAAGTGACCCACAGCCATGATCTTCAAGATTTGTGTGAAATTTCCAGTGAACAACTTGCATGATTCATGAGATATACAGTTACATGTAAAACATCACCCAAATATTATGTCAATATCAATGTTGAAACCACAATGATAAAGATAACTGCATTATTCTTTTTTATTACATGCTTTTCGGTGGTTTATAGAAATATATCAGTGATATAAAACTGATAATTTCACTGTTTTAAACAGTGAAATTATCAATTTGATAATTTCACTGTTTTGAATTTAAGCCCCTTATGTTGTTTCAGTGAAATACAAGCGTGCACAGTACTGGGAACCAACTTACTGACGTGACATGGTAAATAATGTCATGTTGTATTATTATTATTTGGCGCCCTTTTCATTCAGTATTAGGTTTAATGTCTTTTTAAAACGTTTTTTTTGCATATAATAAAAAGAAAATTTGTTTAGTTTAGTGTAAGATCGAAATATATTTCACCTTGTGAACACCAAAAGTTCATATTTCACTCGTGGCTGCGCCTTTTGGTGCTCACTCAGTGAAATATATTCCGATCTTAAACTGAACTAAACAAATATCCTCTATAACTAAAGGATTTGAAAGTGATTTGTCACCATTATACAATCACCACAGCCTTTATTATGCAGTCTAACCAGTCTATACTGATGATAGCCCAGGTTTTGTAATTATGATACTGAAATCACTAAAACTTTGAATGGACTGTTCCAAATTTAAAGCATGGCAAGTCCATTACAATGGTGGTAGTGGTGTTGAGAGTATACCCTCCAGATCACTGCAGTATGCCACATTAAATTTATCAGAGCACGGTTAAACCACAGCAGCATTCCTGGGCATGCTGCTAAGCAGTTTAGCAGTACTAGTTGTCTTCACTTCTGCAAATAACTGATAATTTCTGTACATCCCAGAGCAGAGGTACAGTGCGATAGACTGTAGCAAAGATTTCATAATTATCACAATGGAAGAGAACTGCACTGTCCGGGAATGGAAACAATGGTTGCCTGTCCAATGCTCTACCTATTGAACTAATTGGCTGGTTATGTTACATAGTTGTGGTCAAAGTATGGATGGGTAGCTGCTATGTGATCATGTACAAATTGACACAATCACAAGATGTAAACAATATATTATATACATATAGAATACCTTTGTCTTTGTAGCCAGAGATACCATTGTCAGATGTCTTAATTTATTCAACATGGCTGCACTCAGTTCAGGTAACTCTGATTTCTTCTCTGAAATCATAATTAAGTAAATAACAGTAGAGCATCTTTTAATAGTTTTTATTCACACTGTATTTAAGTAAATGATTCATAGAGTTGTAACAATATGGTAAAAGGCACATTGCAAAATAATGAGTACTTGGACATTTTTGAAGTGAGTATTCTCAACCTTTCTGAGTTTTGTAGAAATACAATTACAAATTCTATGTCACTAAATTATACAAACATATTACATTTACAAAGATGGTGACTGAAAATTCAATTTAATGTAAAAAAAAAAATCATGTCTAAGATAGCTATTACTATATAAGATAAATATAAATATTTTCATTTTATTCCAAGCTAAATCAAAACACCATAAATAGTTCCTGACATAGATGAACAGAGGCAAATTTAAAGAGCATGGAGCTATGGACAGTATACTATGGACATAAATTGTAGTTACACTTAAGAGAGCCTGTAGCCTACATATTCATAGTGAAACCTGATCAATTTAATTACTTTCATAAAGAAATTCTCAACAGTTCCAATTTGAAGCAGGGCAGGTCCATTATGCAAATTTGAGTTAAAGGCTAATTATGCTTTGGAAATGCTTTAACTTTTATTTCTCAAAAACTTTTAATTTTGGTGTACATTTTGTACTTTTATAGTAACAAAAAAAGTTACTCATTGGCCAATTTACCTGAACCATCTTTTTCATCTGTTGCTTTTTTTTGCAATAAGTACAGTTATATAGTGAATTAGTATTTTGTATAGAAGTGAAAATACTACCTTGTTTACATTTTGCTACTTTTATGACAAATGCTTTCATAGTTATCGCTTCTTTTCTTTAGGGAACAAGTATCTAATATTCTCTAAAACCATTAATTAGACATTATAAAATTCATACTTCCTAAAGAAGTAAAATTTTATTTGTATCTGAGGCATAATGTGCCTTTAATAATTACCTTTATAATCTTTGTATGTTCCATAGGCAAAACAGATTCAGCAAGTTAAAAAACTTTACATGATCTCCACTTGAGAGCTGTAAATACAATATATCATAAATCAATAAATTATGATAGTTCTACAGAATTTATTCTTCTCAATATTCCAACTTACTTTAAAGGAATCATATACTTCTACATCATTCATGTATAAATAAAACAGAGAAGTTCCATTAAAAACTAACATGAAATAAAGTTATACTGAATAAACAATATTATTAAAGGAACTCCACTGCAGTCCAAAACTGGCACGCAACTGCCTAAATAAGAAAAATTGAATTTCTTAAATAGATCACTTTAAATCAGAAAAGATATGCAAAAGATAATTTAGAAAAACACTCAATAAAAAATTGAAAACTGTCTTTTTGTGCTATTCTAAGCCCGATTTGAGTTGCAAAGCTTTTCAACTTTGGGTCATTTTGCACAATTTTATTGGAATAATTATTCTGGAATAAGTGAGTGAGTGAATGATCTTATTGGTCATTTCAAAAAACCTTGGTGAAGTCCCTTTAAATCATATTGGTTTAAACATATTTATTAAAGCTCCATTGCGAAACAAGTTCTTGCAACTTATATATAAATCACGTTCAAGTCCACTTCCTGGAACCAACCAGTACTTTTGTCATTTTAAGAAATATTTTTTTTACCTGATTTGGGCTCGAACCCATACCTGGGTTGAAAGGCAGACACCTTAACCACTAGGCCACCGCTCTCTTTAAATCATTATTGAATGAAGAAATAATATGAAATTAGGTGCTACCTATGACGCGGAAAGCTCTTATGAATTATGATTTTAGCCTAACATATTTAGTGTAAATGTAAACCAGATTTATCTTGAAGGTATTTTGTACCATAAACAAAACGAATAAATTGGAAGTGTTCAACCTATCATCAGGGGACCTCTGCGCATGCGTCGGCGTTTGGAAAATCCCGTC